CAATAACTTCTACTTATGATTTTTGATTTCGATACCAATAACTCCTACTTATGATTCTTTCACTTCGATACTAATAACTCCTACTTATGATACTTTCACTTCGATACTAATAACTCCTATTTATGATTCTTTCACTTCGATACCAATAACTCCTACTTATGATTCTTTCATTTTGATACTAATAACTCTTACTTACGACTCTTTTAGTTAGTTACTAATAACTCCTATTTATGATTCTTTCAGTTCGATACTTATAACTCCTACTTTCGTTTTTACAAATCAAATTAGTTATCAAAATGCTAAGTACAATGTACAATTTTAGTTATAGTGTTAATCCACTTGTCAAAAATAGTTATATCACATTATCGAGACGTCCGGATAGTCAGATTAGTTACTTTAAATAGAATAGATATTAGTTGAACGTAGGTGTCCAAAAAAATTCGAGGAGGCAAGTGATAAACAAAAAGCAGTTTATTATTTTATATTTCGTGAATAATTAAAATAATTATGCGAACATTATCACATTTTATCTAAGCCAATTACTTACTTATAGAATACAAAATTCACGGTACAAGCATAAGTTTCTTGAAATGTTACGTTTTAGTGATGCTGATATTTCTGTATGTCTTGGTCTTGAAACACTGTGACTTGCCATAAATTACTCTGATCCTATAGTAACCCCCAATGCAGTAAATTGTTACCAACTGCACATGCAGGTGATTTGTGGTCAGTAATTAATATTTTTCTTGTTCTGATCGACCCCTTCTTGGTTCTTGTGGAATCGTGTAGGAAATTCGTGTTTGTTATGAGAAATTGTTGTTCGGACTCGGAACACGAATATACGGATTAGGAATTAAATTTCTAGTTTAGATACATCTAAATATGATTAGTCATTCGGAACGGTGTCAGCAGGTTTCTGCATTGGTCGGTCAGGTGGCATCTCGAAGTTATAGCGTCTCTGATATTCAAAGGGACTAGTCAACAGTGAAATAGGAGGCGCTGCTCGTGTCTTAAGTACAGTGTTATGGAAGCTGGTATATATAATATGACGATCTCTTAATTTTCTCAAACCTAAGCCCTTTTAGTAAGTTTAACTTTTGTCTTTAATAATGAACTTCTTAATAACTTCTTAAGAGAGCTTACAGATGTATTAAGTCGTCAAGAAATTAATGTCCGCTTTTTTTAAATGAAAATATCCGAACAACTAATTTATCAAAACAAAACATTTATTAAATGAAATAGTCTCCATTCTTATCGATGATGCTTTTCCATCTT